ATAACTCACTAAAACAATCACTATAAATTAATGAACTATAGTGAACAATGATCCCACACGCTAATTAGGAACTAACCAAAAATAATTCTCACGAAGTAAACCTTCATTACTTAGAATGATATTTCTATTAAAGCAGAATAATTAACAAGGTACAAAAAGGTAAGAGGAGAATTACCGACAACTCCAGAATTCCTCCGATTTCTTCTACCTTACTCTCTCCCTAAATCTAGTATACAATAAAGTACAATAGAGCCTCTTGTAATTCGGCTCATACTTTGGTGTGTGTTGGAATGAATGACGTAAGGGGTATTTATAGGCTTGGATGTGCCTTGGAAATGTGGAGAAGCTAAGCATGCAAGGAGCATCTTCACTCTTGAGCTTCCATATGTCCTCTATGACGGTTTCTACTAGTAGAAACGGTCTTGGATAGTCGGTAACTACCGACTTGTGAACATTGGGGCTGATTGGGCTGTTTTTGGGTTCGGCAGAACCCTTGCTGGCTCTATTTGCCCCGAATTTTCTCGTGGGCTCTGGTAAAGATCCCTCAACCCATATGTATGGTGGATTTGCCCATTTGAATGTGTTTCGTTTGGTTTGTGGGTCCAAAACTCCATAGGCTTGAATATGGATGTTTAATTCACCTCCTTCTTTATGTATATTTTGTCTCAACTTTGATAGTTTGTCACCTGCATCCAAATATACACCAACACTCGTGGAAATTATTAGAAATAAACCCTACCGCTATGTTGTATGTTTTATTTTTTTCAGATTTATGCAGGTATTGACGGTGTAAATTTGGCATTTAACAGCCGTCAACAAACCCCCACACTTAGCTCTTTACTCGTCCCGAGTAAAGGTTAAGGATTAATGTGGAATAAAATTTCCCAAGATACAATACAAGTATACAGATTATTCTAAGCCATACCTGTACCTGTGAACTTTTGCAGTGTCTAACTTACTATCTTAGGTAATTGATGAACGGAATAGTCGTGACTCAAGTCCTTCTTGTTCTACCTACCAATCTCTTGGGATTTTCATATATTTTTGCAAAGTAGCTTTACTCCTCAGATGACCTTTTCTCGGATCACTCGTGTGGTTTTATTTATGGATCCTCACTAAGGCATATCTTGCCGATTTGTCCCTATTCTAAAAAAAGGGTGAAGGTAGAGTAGTTAGCCTACCAGAGAGGTGCAGTGGTGTGGGTTTTGTGTCCGATTATTCGGTTGCTCTATGTTATCTCGGGGGATGTAGAGTAGTATTTAATAATGTAAACGTGGTGTCTAGATTATTAAGTATCATTATCTGGGCATATATGCTATGGGTCAGTCGAGGTGGGCCGCACATAGTGACAGCTCAGTACGGGTATTCCTCCATGATAGCATATATTCTTAAGAAACTTTCCTGGGGAGGATACTCTATGACAGGTCGTTGTAAGGAACTCGGCAACCCGGGGTGGTCTCTCGAAACACCAGGAGGGCACTGTTATGGCGTATTGGCTATATGGTTGTATACTAGCAGATGTACACTAAGATTAAGGTGTATACTAGAATTATAGGAATTGATTGATTTTCTATTTCTTCTTCCACATAGTTTAGGATTGATTAATGAGAGATATGAGTTCTTTGCTTCGTGTCACTCTACCCTTATAAATATATTAACCCCTGTTTAAAGACTCTAATCATACAAGTGGCATGTTTACATTATTAGCATAGTTCTCTCTTACAACCTTCCCTTGGGATTAAATAAATACGATACATTGGAATACTCCCGGGTGAAATGCTATAATAGTATATCCGTGCGCTTGCGAATTCCTTCTGTAACCATATATATACCAGGACCATTTCTAGCTCCATTGCTTGGAATTTATATTTCTAGTAATGTAAGAAATACCAACAATACTCTACTTTGTTGTGTTGTGTTGAGCTCCTCCTTTTATAGCCTTCATATGATGGTTGGAATGGCAGTTGTGGATGTCAGTACGCCCACAATCGTCACTGGGGAGCAACCAGGGACTGCGACGTGTAGGGTGGAGATGGGGGGCACAATGTTGGTTCGACCGACCTGTGGGTCCCACCAATCTCCATTGCCTTTCTCCAGAGGCTCACAGGTGTGCCCCTATGGCGGTTAAGGATGGTTTGGCCCCACTTTAGGTCGATTTTAACTGTGATGTGGGCCCTCCAATCCTTGTACTCACGTGGATTGGCCGGAGGTTCATTTTGTCGCTTAACAAGTGCATTTTCATCCATGAATGACCTCCATAAATATATTTACCAAAGCTAGTGGAAAATGATTAGTAGTTTATCTGTACAATCACAATGCTACTTTAGATAGATTTGTTATATCCATCACATAGACAGATTTATTGACTTATTGAGTATTAGATTATCATATACAGTCTCATGTGGCATCGCTAAGGTTCGACCTACTAGATTGTTATAGATAATCTAAATCTTATTAAGCCGATAGGTTCATGCTAATGTTTCGTCGGAGGGTTAGCCAATCTTATCTTATGTGTTAAGTTTCTCTCTGCTAGTTTTACTGTCTTAGTTAAATTTAATGCATGAACACTTTGATCGATGTCATATCAGCTTGCTTAAATCTATCGAGCAATTATCAACCTTATTTTGCATCGGTTTGGTTTGACCTATGGGGTTGTGGTTGTAAGTTAAATTTATTTATGTTAGTAGGCATCAATCATTGTTTCATCGGAATTTCAGCCGATGAGTTATCTGGATATTGTTTAAGTGTTGCATCGACTTATAAGGATTATATACAAGTTGGTTTTAGCCGATTGTAGCAAAGGCTTTATTGATTACTTAATCATTTGTATTTAATGACATCGGATTTTCAGCCGATGCATATTTTAACCATCGAATCAACATCGATCGATTGGTTCATTGGGTATTTATTTAATTACTTTATCATCAGTCAATTGCCTTTATATCATTATTTATGCAAGTGCCGTAATCTAAATCGGACATATAGCCGATTGTTCAAAACCCTATCGACATCAACTGTATCGTTACATCGGCTTGTTAGCCGATCGGCTCTTTGATCATCAGTATATTTATCTATCTTGTCAGTTGCTGGATCAAACTGACTGATACACCCATATCTCATTAAGATTTAAGACCTGCACTGGAGCTAAGCAAATCTCTCATGCCTTCATGTTTTTCATGTCGACACATGTCGTTGACTTTTAGACCTCTTATAAAAAATACTACGTAAGTATCGTTTATTTTGTTGCTACTTGTTTCATAATTAAATATATCCTTTGTATTATTTATATTTCTATTCAGGAAAAACATTATTTTTGTTTTACCATATTGCAATATTTTTTTTATTAAGATGATGGTCAAACTACCCCATAATTCACGGGGGATCCTAGCACACGCGTACACGCCAGCAAATTAGCTGGCGCGCGCGCCAGTTGGGACCATCCTCGCGCGCCTTTTTCATTTTTTGTTCGCATATTTTTTTCCGATCTCTTTTCTTTTTTTTTTGCCATTTCTTTCCATTTTTTGTCAATCTTTCACACTCCTCTTTACAAAATATGGAATTGAAAATTTTAAATTTTGACTTGAAAGTTTTCAAATTTTGTGTTGAAAGTTTTTAAATTTGAGTTGAAAGCTTTTAAATTTAACTTGAAAGTTTTCAAATATGGGTTGAAAATTTTAAATTTGAGTTGAAAGTTTTTCAAATTTGAGATGAAAACTTGAAAGATTTCAAAATTTGACTTCAAAAAATATAAATTTCGAGTTCAAAGTCTTCAAATTTTTAGTTGAAAGTTTTCAAATTTTTAAGTTGAAAGTTTTTAAATTTGAGTTGAAAGTTTTCAAATTTGATTTGAACGTTTTCAAATCTGGGTTGAAAATTTTAAATTTGAGTTGAAAGTTTTCAAATTTGAGAAGAAAAGTTGAAAGTTTTCAAAATTTGACTTCAAAAAATTCAAATTTGAGTTAAAAGTTTTCAAATCTAAGTTGAGTTGAAAATCTTAAACTATATTTGAACAAAATATGGCCGAACGCGGTGAAAAAGAAAAATTCGGTACTAATTACTCCCATAGCTAATCTCGTTTTCTAATAAATATGGCCTAATTAAAAAGCGAAAAATTAGATTAATCACACCGATAATGACGTTTTCTAATAGGACTATACGCCATAATTACCGGAAGAAAAATCAAAACTAATTATGGCGCTAGTCACGTTTTTTCTCGGACTCCGGTTTTGACCACTGTGTTAACGACACGTGAACCAGGTGGACGTATGCACGTGTTCGACATCTAGCGCCGGTTTTGACCACTGTGTTAAGGACACGTGTACCATGTGGATGTATGCGCGAGTTCGACATCTAGCGCGTATGCGCTAATTAGTCCTCCTTTCGATAATCTTAGGGCATCCACAATGTGACCAAAAAGCAGTACTTATAACTCTATATGGGTACCTTTACCATTGTGAGAGATGGCATTAGGAAGAGCCATATGATAAGCTACCCATAGCTATAAAGACCACCCATATAGATTAAAATATACTATCTCTCTCCTTTTGCTTCTTTCATGAGAGAACTGTAACATTTGGAAGTAATTTTTTTTAGAGTGTGGGTCCCATTTTAATGTCAATTGCTATCTATATACATGTGGAAATATAAATAACAAAAAACTACTTATGTGGGTCCCACCTATATGGACTACTTGGTCCATATAGATTAAAATATAGTATCTCTCTCCTTTTGCTTCTTTCATGAGAGAACTGTAACATTTGGAAGTAATTTTTTTTAGAGTGTGGGTCCCATCTTAATGTCAATTGTTATCTATATACATGTGGAAATATAAATAACAAAAGACCACTTATGTGGGTCCCACCTATATGGACTACTTGGTCCATATACATTGGTGATGCCCTTACGCCTAAGTTACTCGTTACTCAAATCCGACGTCCCATATACATCTGCGGTAATCGGACGGTAGCAATTACCTCCACCTCCCCCTCCCGTGATCCACGCCACCTCACCCCTGACCCGCGCCCCCTCCCACCCGTGACCCGTGCTCCCTCCCCTAACCCTAATCGCCGCCGCACCGCCACTGATTCGCTCCGCGGAACACCGAACACCAACGCCCGCCGCGCTCCCCTCACCCAAGCCCGCGGCACCACCGATCCGCGCCGCCGGAACACCCGTGCCCCTCGCTATCCCCCCACCCTCGTCCGTGCCGCCCCAGATCACCGTCGCCCTGAGTTGTCGTCGCCCGCCTCGTCGATCTCCTCTGCACCACCATAACTCCGTGCGCGAACCTCGCCGATCTCCGTGCCACCAGAGCTCCGTCGCCTGCCTCGCCGATCTGCTCCAACCCATATCCCATCCGCCGCCAAGAGGTACAGAAACCCTACTGCCCCACCCCTTCCCCTTCTCTCTTTCCTAGTCGATATTAAGCATCGAAGCATCGATTATCTGTGTCTTCTCCTTATTACTTCACATTAACTGTTTCAAATCATTGCATTTCCTCTCACTGTATAATCTGATACGCAAACATGCGATGTATTATGCAGTGCATTTTTAGTTAGGTCTGACCATTGAACATACATTATATGAATTTTTTGGGTACGTAGTACTTTCGGTGCTCGGTTCACTATGATCCTTCTATTTAATTTAAAATAGTAAGACTGATGGTACGTTTTCTCTGCTTCCAAATCTGTGCAAACTGAAAAGACTATTCAAGGTACCAAAGAGAAATTCTTAGGGTGTGTTTAGGCCTGGTTTAGTTCCAATCTTTTTCTTCGAACTTCCAACTTTTCCATCACATCAAAACTTTCCTACACACATAAACTTCCAACTTTTCCATCACATCGTTCCAATTTTAGCGTGAACTAAACACACCCTTAGTTCACGCCAAAATTGGAAGTTTGATTGAAATTGGAACGATGTGATGGAAAAGTTGGAAGTTTGTGTGTGTAGGAAAGTTTTGATGTGATGGAAAAGTTGGAAGTTTGAAGAAAAAGTTAGGAACTAAACCAGGCCTTAGCGTTTCATCTTAGAAGAAGACAATTTTAATATGCATAATCTTAGCTAAGGACAAAGCATAATATTTGAAACCAATCCAAAAACATTGCATTTATTGAAGGAAAAAAAAAACTCTGAGTAATGCTTGCATGAAAATAGATTAAAACAGGCTCTCCGAAAACAAAATACACTTCTTTACCTGTTGACAACAAAGTCAATTGTTTTTAACAACTGATAATGGCTTTATTAAAGAAAATCAAACTTGAAATTAGTGATCTTCTATCCTTTAACTAAACTTAAAATTTGATGGGAAGAGCATAGAAGCACATGGATTTCTTGGGTTATTTTGTTGTAACACAAGTTTGCCAGACATTTCTGCAGCATCTTAAGGTGGTTTATGTCTATTTTGATCGAGCAGTTTGGCGAGTGGAGATGTGGAATTATACCATAGTAGTTCAGGAGGATTGATATAGGTAATAATTTTTGAGTGATAGATGCATTTTGAAATCTTCATGGATTATGGAGCAGCATAGCTAAACTTTCCTTTGCCGTAACTTAGCCCAAATTGTGCAATGTTCATATTATGTCCGCCGTTGCTTACTTCTGCTTCTGCTCTTAGTGGAATCACTAATAAATGTCATCTGATATGTGTCCTTTTAGATATGCTTGTGTGTTTGCTACTTGGAGATTTGGTTGGGTTGGAACAAAATGTTAGTTAATTGCTTTAAAATGCAGTGCACTATGTATTACGAATATGTACTTCCTTTAGTTGAGTCAGTTTGTCTAATGGCCAGAAGCACTATAACATTATTTAATTGTGTGGGAAACATGACCAGAAAAATATTAAATGGGAATATAATGTACTGCTGCTCGTCTTTCTTGGGGATTCTTTTCGCAAAGTCATTACTGATAAGATGCTACGAGCCTAGGAATCTTTACAGTTGATTTTCTTTTTGCATGTATGGATGTATATTTTGGTTTAATCTTTCCGTACTTTATTTATTTATTACTACTAGGTCAGGAGATTAATTTCTCCTTCAAAGCATATATATGATCAGTAAGCAAGCATGTAGTAATCAGTTGGTGCTGCTTTTGCTTGCAGTTGGTGGCTCTTCCTTTCTCGATCATATATGGTGTTTGCTGCATGCCTACATCTCTTCAGATCATTCGTTCACAAAGAAAAAACATCTAATCAGATCCAACCTCCACCAGTGACGCCGATCTAGAGGCGCCGTCAACTGCAAGTCAGTACCAGTTATGAACTTTCTCATGCCATGGCTAATCATCAACCTTTTCATTGTGCCTAATCTTCAAGTGTTAGTTCTGTCTCTAGGATTGTACATATTTGGCAGTACTTGACAGAATGAGCGATGGTAAGAGATCATTAGACTATAATTGTTCATTTCGGTTATGGAATTATATTTCACCTTGAATATCCCAATAGTACTCATGATTATCATTTTCATTCGGTACTCATGCTGATCAAGATTTGGTCCTTATGCTTAAGTAATTGTTGCTGATCCAGAGTCATTCAGCTCCTTCAAACTGAATCAGTAGAAGGCTAAAAGTAGAAACAAATGCCTTCATGGGATGCCTAAAATGACTGGTGCAGGAACTAGGCTTAAATTGCAGTCAGAATCAGTACCATGTGTTAGAAGCAGATGATCTCCTGGATACTTTAATTAAAGCCACTATCACAGTTTAAACCATATAAATTAATTAAGGCCACTATCACAGTTTAAACCATATGAACTAATAGGAAGCCATTTGCGGTGAATCTTACAATCACGTGCTGCTCTGAAATGTTCCCAAAAAAACACTTTAACCTTTCGGCTTAATATATTAACCGAATACTTTATGCCTACATCAATTGTGCCCTCTAAGATCATGACATTCAATTTATTGTTCTTTATTTTATGAATATTCCAACTATTTTGCAAGATGAAAAGCAGTTTGAGGCTTTGAATCCAAGCAAGTTTGTTTTTACTGTTCTGATGGTACACCTTATTTCATTTGTCGTTACAGACTACAGTCCGAAATTTCTGATTATTTAGGCAGTTAGATGTCCCAGGCAGCGGAAACCGGGTCTTCCCCAGCCTCAGCTCGCAACGCTTTGAGATTTGAGAATCCTGGGCATAAGCAGTGGAGGCTGAGGGTGCCGCCGTTCGCAACTGATGTCGTCATCCTTCCCACAACCGTTGTGCGATAGCCACCACCACCAGATCGAGCGGTCAAGCACCCTGATAGTGCAAGGGAAGTGCATATATACTCTCTGATGGTCTCTTGTAAATTTCTTTCTTGCATTGTCTACTGTACATTCGTCTTGAATCTGAGTTGTTTTTAGGTTCCTTGTTTTATCCTGCACTTTCTTTAGAAATTTCGATCTAATACTCTAATTTATTTTGAATCCTATTGTTACTTGGGGCATTGTTGAGGAGTGACGGTGTTGGAACTGCCACTGAGGCTGAGCTCCAAGTGATCTACCGTGTATTCATTGGCGAGATTGGCCTCAAGCTGCAACTGTGAATTTAACTAACATCCTACGGGCCTGTTGACTTGGTGTTGTCATATTCTGTTAGCAATAGTTTTTTACTAGCCCAAAAATCATATCGAATGATTATGTAAAACCAAATCATTTCTAGCTTTGTTTTGTAATGCTAAATATGGTAATTGATGTGTCGAAACTAGATTTCGGCAATAATAAAAAGGGGGTGGCTATCAAGCTAGGAAAGTGTATGGGTTTGGAGACAAAAAGATTTATACAGGTTCAGGCCTTCTTATAAAAGAAGTAATACCCTACTCCTGTCCGGGGATGAATCCGCCGAGTGTGTTATTGATTGTATGATTTGGAGAAAATCCAACAACTGCCCCTAGAGGCGCCCGGACCCCCCTTATATATAGGAAGGAGTCCGGGTTACAAAAGATAATCTATATCCCTAACGGAATACACAGATACAGATTAAATACAGTCGTGACCGACTAAGTCTTAAGTTGTTTCCTTGATATACAAGTCAGGAAACAAACCCAGGATACACATAAGATATTCTATCTATATTCGGTATCCTATATTCAGTCCAAATATCATCGCCGTGTAGATATGGGATATCCATAATCTCCACAGTAGCCCCCGAGACCTTTGCAGTCAATCATCGTAGCCTTCTCAAAGATAATAATCCGAGTGCTTCAAACTTTTCATGCCAAGGCCTGCCGAGTAGCGAAGACAAAGACTGTAAAGGGCGAAAAGATAAAAATATGGTGCATCGAATAGATGCACCTAATTAGGTGTAGCCCCCAACTATGTGATTAGTTAACAAACTAAACATATAGTTGAGAGACCAAATAATAGCACAATTGTGCATCATATGACAAAAGCACACACGGCGCCTAAATAGGCATGCTAGCCGACTGCTTTTTAGCCATAATGAAAAGAGTCCGAGTGGTTTACACTCTAAAAGGTTCACGAATGAACACACTGGACAGGCATCCGAATATAAAACTCTAAAGATTACCCACCAAGTATTATAAAAATTATGGTAATGAATAAGTCTAATAGCCTAGGCTATGACTATTTACCATAATGAAAATAGGTATATAACATACCAAGGAAGTGACTATGATAAAAACAAGTCATTCCAAATTAACCCAGACAGCTTTTGTAGCCTAATAAAGCTAACAAAAAGCAGTATAACACCTTTCTGTCGGGCACCTTTTAATTTGCATTGCAATAATTCCAAAGAATTATATGACCGCATAAAAAGGATTTTATCAGCATTGGGCAACACTATTGTGCGCATAATATTGCCAAAGCAAAATATGCCTAAGTCCCTAAGGAACACAATGGGCCACGCTGTTAAAAGTATTGGGCTGAAGTACTGTTCAGGCCTAGGCCCATTTGCACCTCCGATACCCTTAACAAGAAATCCCGAGATCCAAGCGACGCTTCGTCTTCCCCGCCGGAACTCTCGCCATTTTCCCCACTCCTTGCTACAGTGCAGAACTGCGCCGGCGAACTAGGGTTCACCACTCCACTCAAATCCACCTTCGAAAAGTGCATCAAAATCCTTCCCGTGATCCACCGCCTTAATCCCTCATTTCTCCCTAACCATCCCTCGAATCAAATCAGCGCATTCGGATAAAATCGATGGCGGAAGAGAAGGAAAGCTTCGAAGGCCAATGGGCGCCGTCCGACGTAACGGAAGAGAACCTGAAGGAGATGGTGGCGCACGGCGTTCTCCCAGCCAAGGAGATCATCGGGTGGCGGCCAGCGTGCGGTGAGGCTTTTCCGACCCCTGATACACATGAGATCGTAGTCTTCTCGCATTTCTTCTATGGCGGCTTCGCTCTTCCGACCTCGAAATTCTTCCGCGGGATATTAAGCTTCTATGGAATCAGCTTGCATCACCTAAACCCGAATTCCATAGTCCACATTGCCAATTTCATCCATGTCTGTGAAGCCTTCTTAGGAATTAAACCCCACTTCGCCCTGTTCCGCCGAATCTTCTTTCTCAAACCCCAACCAAACAAGAGTAAGCCATGTGTAGTCGGAGGGGCCGGATTTCAGCTGAGGGGAACTCTGAGCCAGAAATACTTCTCAATGCCCTTCAAGACTTCAAACAAAGGATGGCATGCGAACTGGTTTTATGTTCAGAATCCTGAGCCTGCTCTTCCCGAATACTCTTGTCTTCCCCCGGTGTACCAAGATACTTGGAACTCTCTTCCAATCGGAGATGAAGCTGCCCAAGCCTTGGAATTGTTGGATCGCATGTTAAAACTCAAAGAACAAGGCTTGCAAGGAGAGCAGATCACTCGGCATTTCATCAAATGCCGACTAGCGCCAATTAAAGAAAGATCTCGTACAGCTTTTGAGTTTGACGGCAAGCATGATCCTAATCGCGAAGAACCAGACTCTCTGGATTTCAAAATCATGAAGGAGAGAATGTATAAAATCTTCTCAAATGCCATTGTCGTTAGCTACTCACACCAGCTGCCAGTTGTGCCATATAATGCATTCAATCCGCCTCCGCAGGTATGTATCTGAAATCTTCAACTTATGACCAAAATAGTATCTTGTCTTCATGTTGAGTTAACTAACCATGGAGGCATCTCATTCAGGAATGCGTATTGATGAAATCTGATCCCCCAATTGCTCAGCGCCGATCTCCTCGCCAGCACACCATTCAGGGAAGTGGAGGGCCGACAATCAGGTCAGACCCACAACCTCAAACCTCCAAACCGGCTGGTCAGACAGGTCCTCGCAAGAGAAAGCTGGTGCTTAATGACGACGAGGGCGATGACAGCAACAAATCTGGGGACAAGGGCACGCCCAACAAACTCCCAAAGCATACCATGCCCAGGAAAAAACTGGCCGGCCGTCAAATGCCAAAGATTAGAACATCTTCCAGGTATAAACTTCTCGGTACCATCTCCCTTTGATATGCTTCTCTCATAGAAATTATGCTGAATATCGAAAGGACACTTTGCAGGAAACCATCCGACATAGATCCAACTGGAAAAGATCCTGATCCGGCTGTGACAGAGCCAAATTTATCGAAAGACGCTGAGCCGTCTGCCGAAAACCAGCCGACTGCCGAAAGCCAGCCGACTGCCGAAAGCCAGCCGACTGGCGCCCATGCTTCGGATGACAAAGCCGATCTGAGTGACCAGCCGCCAACTGGAGACCAGTCGGCAACAGCTGAAACTGCAACAACACAAGAGCCCCCGACTGGAAACCAGTCGGATGTAGGTCCCGATGAAGAAATCCCTGAAGTTGAAGCGCAAACGACAACTTCCCAAGGACCAGAGGCTGGTAAAGACTCAATGATTGGGTCTCTAAATAAAGAACAAGGACCACCTCATGTTCAGCCAGGAACATCCTCAGGTAACACATCTTCTCAAGTGATGCCGATTTAAATAACTTCAGCTTACTCGTCTAATGTCTTGGAAATACATCAGGAACACTAGGCGATGACGAAGAAACAATTCCTCGCATAAAGGCGGCTGATGACTCCCGTCCTCCTATCTTGCTCAAATGGTGGGACGAGAACTCGCAAGTTGCCGGCATCGTTATAAATCGTCAAAAAGAAGATGAGGAAGTGTGCCAGCTGAAGAAAGCACTTGGAGAAGCCACTCGCATTGTGAATGTAAATCTTCCGGGTGACTGCCTTTAATAACTTTGTTCTCTCTTTAGCAGAACTGAACCATGATCCATCATGCAGAGAATCCATCTTCGCAATGAGGCCAAGACTACAACTTTGGAAAAGCTGGTTCCTCATTTGGGAACTCTTGAAGCAGTTAGGGACCAGCTGCATGAGGCCAAGGAGTATGCTAAAAAGACAGAGAAGGAGTTAAGGGACCGAATTGCCCAGCTCCAGGATTCAATCTTCGAGCTAAGTGGTTCATCAAAAGGTAACCTTCCAGATCTATTCCATTGATTTATGCTGTCATAACTGTATCCTCAAATATTTGGATTTCAAACAGCACAAGCTACCAGGATGGCACAAATGGAGAAACAGATTGAAGCCTTGAAAAGAGACAAAGTAGAACTAGCTGTGCAAAGGGACTCAGCCTTGAAGGAGGTTGAAGGTACTGCCAGCTGACAATTTGAACTTTCCTCTCTTTAATGCAGCAAATTCTTATTATAAATGTGTTTTGTAGACCGTAAAATCAAATCTCAAGCTCAGTTTGATGTCCTGGTTGGTAAGATCAAGAAGCTTGAAGGAGCAAGAGACGAAGTCGCCAATGTCGCCACACCACTTGTCCAAGCTATGTTCCTTAATGACAGTGGTCCGAGTGCACTTGACGCAACCGAAATCTTTGACAAGCTGAGAGTAGCACCGGACGTATACTTCAAGAATATCAAGAAAGCTGGAAGTATGTGTCGCGTCCCAAATCGACCCTAAAATACATCCTCGAAATTGTGCCGAGAATAATTAAAATTCATGTGAAAGCCTCCAACAATTAAAATGTGCAAAGATAAAAGTCAAATGAGGCTTGGAGGATTTTTGTATATTTCCTAAAAGCCTAAAATGCGTAAATAAATTTTAGTGGAATTTTCAGAGCACAAATAATAATTGAAAAGAAATGAACAAAGTTGAAAAGGTTTATAAAAAGAAAAACCCTAAAAGAAGTCCTCTTTTCCCCCCCTTCCTTCTTGGGCCGGCTCGGCCCAGCCCCTCCCTCTCTCTCTCTTCCCCTCCGGCCCATCGGCTCCCCCGCGCGCGCGCGCCGCTGACAGGCGGGCCCGCCCGCCACTCTCGCTGACGGGTGGGACCCACCTGTCATCTCCCTCCTCGCGCCGCGCCCGCCGTCGCCCGTGCCCTAGCGCCGCCGCCGCCGCCGAATCCGCCGCATCCCGCCTTCCCCGCGCGCCATAATGAGGGGGGAATTACTCCCCGTGATTCCCTCTCCCGTTTCCCCCTCTTTTCCCCCTCTCTCTCCCTCGGATTCGTCCGATTTGAATCCCGCAAACCTCGCCGGCGCAATCAATGGCGGCCGAGATCTCCGCGCCCGTTTCCTCTCTCTCCGGCCACGCTCTCCTTCTCCCGGTGCTATTTAATCGTCCCCCGTGCTTCGCTCTTCCGTTTCCGTCGCTCGCCGCTCGCTCTCGCCGTCGGATTCGTGCTCGCGCCGTGCACCTCTTTCTCCGCCGTCGCCGCCGACCTCCGTTTCGTCGCCGTCGTCGCTCCGGATCTCCTCTCGACTCGGCGCCACCTCCATCGGCTTCGCCGCGTTGTCGCCGACCCCGTCCGCCCCTTCGCTTCGCTCGCCGACCGCCGGAGCACCGTCGTCATCGTCATCCCGAACCGCGCCGCCGCCTTCTTCCGCTTCGGCCGCCGTTCCCGTCGTCGCCGTTGACCGGGGTGAGCCGAAGACCGTTCCATTCGCTTCCCCCTTCCCTCCTCTCTCTCGGGTGCCGCTCCGCCGCGCCGGTGGTCGCCGGCGGTGACCATCGGGGCGCGGGCGCGTCCCCCTCCCGTCGGCCGTGCCGGCGAGGCCGCCTTCGGGCGTGCCCTCGCGGCTGCCAAGTGGGCCCGGCCGTCAGCCGCCCGCGCCCGCGGGTGCGGCTGACGCGTGGGACCCACGGCGCCGGCCGCCGCCAGCCGCGTGCTCCCGGTCCACCGTGGACCGAGAGGCTGACGCGTGGGCCCCACTTCCCGTGGACCCGGTCCGCGCGCCCCTCTCCCGGCTGACGCAATAAATGAGATTTTTAATTAAAATTTAAATGAAGAAATTCGTAAATATCCATTTAAAGAGCATATAAACTTCAAATGGCCATATCTTGGCCATTTGAACTCGGAATTGGACCGTTCAAGTCTCTAATTTTTCCTTAAGAAGTCAAGAACCCATTTTTGTGCTTTGTTTCTGCTGTTATGTGGAGTTTAGTAGTGTAAAAGCCTTTTCTTTTCCGTTGGTCGTGTAGACGCTGCAGCTTCGGAAGATCCGCTCTTCGTGGAAGTCGAAGCCGTCGGTTGGGAAAGCGAGCAAGGCAAGTCACATCATCTTTGAACATATTGAATCCCAGTTTGTAAAATTATGTTGATTTAAATTATTGCATTATCGCTTTATTTAAATTCCCGCGTTATCACTGTTTTATTTAGCCATGCCTATTTACCTTTGTTATGACCATATTATTATTGTTATTGTTATTATTATTACCTTGTTCACCCTAGAGTAAACAAAACCTCAACTAGTGGACACTCTACTCGTGGTATCCCTAGTTTAAATTTAGGTAGATGCTTCGCAATTTAATTAGGTAACATTAGGTGGTTTTATAACTTTAGACTTGGGGAATATTCATATCACCTGGACACTATGGAATTGTTGGATTATTGTGGAATTGGCTTCACACCGCCCCCTCTATTCAAAATCCCCTAAATTGGTTTTAGGCTGGGCTCGGGGTGCATGGTTTTGATGGTAGCACCTCGGCCATATAAGGACCGGTCTTCGGGCCTCTGTTGCAAAGCACTACCGTACTTCCACATGTCTAGTGGGTAAGGCTTAGTTTGTGGCTCAGTCTAGTCATAAACAAAAGTACACGGATTGGAGATGGATGAAGTCGGGGGTCGATGGACATTCTCCAGGGCAAATGAAGGCTACACGAGCTGCGGCCCGGTAGTCGAGATGTCATATGGCAGAGGGTTGGTGCCCTGCTGCTAGGGGCTCAGTCTTGCCTGCCTGTCCCGGGGGTTCCGGCCGTAGGCAGGATTGGGTCGGTACTCTTGTCTAAGGCTAGGATGGGTTGGAAACTATGTCACGTCTTCCGTCCGTATACCGTGGTGGTATGTGGCACGTGGTTACACGTGAGGAAGATGTGTCTTGTGGGTAAAGATGTACACCTCTGATCAGAGTATAATCTATTCGAATAGCCGAGCCCTCGGTTATGGGCAAGCCGAGCAATGTACCCAAGTTAGTGTTTTAATTCTTAAAACCTACTTAACAACTAAAATATGGAATGGTTGGCCTGGGTTGGCTTGGGACGAGCTGGGACCCAGGGTCGGGTTGCCAGTTCGGTCTGAATCATCATAGGCCTTGGGTTAAGGCAGGTTCGTGTGGGTTCACGGCCTTGATTAATAATATTGTATAGTTCTAAGATCGTGTTTACAAAATAGCCCTGAGCAACTAAATGTCTTTAAATGCTGTTTACTGCAACCCTAACCCTTTATGTTATAATTCCCTTGTACTCCCTTGCATTTATTCTGCACTTGTGGGTGTGTCTTGTTGAGTACGGTGGTTGTACTCAGTCTTGCTCAATTTTTCCCAAGCCCAGAAGAGGAGCTCCTTGAAGATGAAGGCTTTGGTGTCTAGCTCGTGCCTGCCGTCAAGCGCCTGTGGTCGTCGCCCTAGTCTTCCGCTGTTTTTCGTTTGTCTTTGTGTGTGCTGGGTCTTCGCTGCCCATGTAATAAGTTAACTATTTACGCTTCCGCTTGTTAAACTCTGAATTGTATCAACTTTGGTGTACCTTGCCTCCTGGGACAAGGATTAATGCACGCACGTCAGGAACGCCCGTTGGGTTATTTCCGGTCGTGACAGTATGGGAGCTAGTATGGCATTGGCGATGACCAAATCCTTGTACCCGAGGATTGAAATTGACGCCATTGATGGCTTTGCAGACGGGACAAGCGAAGAAGCTGCTCTTGATCTTATCAGTAATGCTCAAAGTGCGGCTGACAAGATTGCAAGTGATGTTGTAGAGCAATTCCGCAACAACGACCTTCAGCCGAGCAATAATAACTCTGATGATGAAAGGACTGATTCTGACTGAGTGTAAATGTAGCAAATGGAGGCTTAATTTGTACAATACTGGTGTATTTATGCTGTGCTTGATAGTTCTAACCAAGTCTTTGATTTCTTAAAAGCTTTTATCAAGCTTTGTTGAGCCTAAAACCCAAAGAAGCTATTAAAAACTTTCAGTCCTCGCAGACTAAGTAGAAAAAATCAAACAAGGCAATGATAGACCAAGTAAGCAAATTAAATTGATAAAAAATCACACTCCATTATTATGATGATAGCCCCCGACTGACAACGGCAAGAAGAAAACTTGATGTTGACAGTCAAGATAGGGAAGTACAATGATAAACTTAAGCGTAGAAACGACGAAGATGTTCAATGTTCCAAGAGTTGTCGACAAGAGTACCGTCTTCGCGCTTGAGTCGATAAGAACCTGGTCGGGTGACTTCAGAGATAATAAATGGCCCTTCCCATAGAGGAGATAACTTGTGCCGATCTCGTGTAGTTTGAATTTTCCTCAAAACCAGGTCACCGACTAAAAAGGCACGAGATCGAACATTGCGATTATGATAGCGCCGCAACCCTTGTAAATATCGAGCCGACCGAATCAAAGCTGCTTCGCGGGCTTCTTCCAATCGGTGCAAGTCATCCACTCGGTCTTCTTCGTAGCGTTCTTCACGGAAATTACGAAAGCGCAAAGACTCAAATTCGACTTCACTCGGCAACATTGCTTCTGCCCCATAGACAAGGAAAAAAGGTGACTGGCCTGTGGCCCGACTGGGTGTAGTTCGCAAAGACCAAAGTACTGATGGCAGTTGTTGCACCCATTTGCCGGCATAGGGTTTTAGCCGGTCAAAGACACGCGCTTTAATCCCTTGAAGTATCATGCCATTAGCTCGCTCCACCTGTCCATTGCTCATGGGGTGTGCCACTGAGGCGTAGCAAATCTTAATTCCAAAGTCCTCACAAAAGTCTTTAAAAACTCCGCCAGTGAATTGTGTGCCATTATCAGTGATTATCCGATTGGGCACTCCAAATCTATGCACAATGTTGATGAAGAAGTCTCGAGCATTATCTGCTGTGATTGTGACAACCGGTTTAGCCTCAATCCACTTGGAGAATTTGTCAATGGCCACAAAGAGATGCGTGTAACCGCCAACTGCCTTTTTAAACGGGCCAACCATGTCGAGCCCCCAAACCGCAAACGGCCAAGACAGTGGGATAGTTTGCAACTCTTGAGCTGGTAGATGAATTTGTCTGGCGAAAAATTGGCAACCTTCACATGTGCGCACAATTTTGTCGGCGTCGGACACTGCAGTAGGCCAGAAAAAACCCTGCCGGTAAGCTTTGCCGACAATGGTGCGTGCAGCAGCATGGTTTCCGCATATCCCAGAATGTATGTCTTTCAGCAATTGTCTCCCTTCCTCTAAAGATACGCAGCGTTGCAGAATTCCTGAAGGGCTTTTCTTGTATAACTCAGATT